CTCGTATGCAAATTAGCAAAAATAAAATAAATATGCCTCCTACCAGTTATTAATGTACACGTGGCGACTCTGGTTGTTAGTGGCTTTATTCCCTACTCCTCGAGCGACTTTGTAGGATGTAATTGTTAAGAAAAAATAAGATAATCTGACTGAATGAATAGAAATAATTATTAAAGATGGATTAAATAATGATCTCATTTTAATGTTAGCGTGAAAATAACCAGCCAAATCCTCTCTCTCTCTCTCTCTCTCTCTCTCTCTCTCTCTCTCTCTCTCTCTCTCTCTCTCTCTCTCCTAAGCAAGAGAACAACAATTTAAGGAAATTTGAAATTTATAAAAAAATTCAATAACCACAAGATGCAGAATGCACCCAACAATGTTGTGTAGTCCAGATACGAGTAAAATGGAAAAACATTTGAGTCCAAACACTGAGGGAATATATAATGGGTTTGCCTGCCTTAGTACAGTCACAATCCAAAGTTTCTTTACCCCCTGGCTGGAGGGAAGGCGAAGCCAAGGTTGAATAAAGGCCAGACGAACGTACGGTTCGTGTTTGTGACAAAATATCTGGTAACACTATCCTGATCAGAACAGACAAAATTACAAAATGACCTGTAATTTATGTTTTATTTCTTCATATATGTTATAAATACATTTGTTGTGAATATTTTACTAGTGTCTTGTGTTTATATTACAAGTAATATATTGTATCCAATGGTAGTAAACTTGATGCCGAATGGGATTGCAGTTATCGTACAGCTCCTTCCTCCTCCCCCACTTTTTCTCTTATGCTACTTTTTTACTGATGTTTGGATTAGTAGAGGAAGGAAGAGGAGTAAATAGAAGAATAAAGAAGGAGAAACAGAAAATAGTTAGAGATAACAGGTTGGGGGAGTTGAGTTTCATCATGCGTTTCGATGCGCAGTTTCAACGTTGCCAGACCATTTTCGGACCTTACAGCTACAGTGTGTACAGTTCAGTATACTTATTCCTCTGGCCGACTGTACATCCATTCTTTCAGTAGTCTGGTGATGAAACACAATGACGGTGGGGCTCACACACCAGCACCCCAACAAAGCACACGACCACGGGTATGAAATATATTTCAAAACATTGACATGATATGGTATGTTGGCAGGGCTATATTTATTTTATGAATACTACTATATAACGACAGCACAAAGCACAGTGTATGTCCGTTCGTCTGGCCTTTCTTCAACCTTAGTTCCGCCTTCCCTCCATCCATGGCAGTGAAGAAACTTTGGAGTGGGACTGTACATATTTTTATTTAATTTATAAATTTAAGAAACAAAGGTAACTCCTACGGAGATTTAAGAAAGGAATATATTAAACAAACATGATTCAAGACCAATTGTACAATACATCCATAAGTTTTGTCGACCTGTGTACAATAAATAAATTCAGGTACAGAGACCTAGAGAGGATAATACTGTACCTCATAACCACTGTTCCGGGTTACTTATCGTGTTACATCACCTTACTAAAAAGAAAGTAAAGGTTAAGTGTCAGTTTTAATCACGTCAAAAGTTCAAGACAATAAGCTCTTAAGGTACTCCCGTAGACAGAATCTAAGGTAAACAGCCCCAGAGTTCGATATTTTGGAATCGGTTTACAGTAAGTCTAGCTTCGGGAATCACGGTAAAGCTCAATTAAGGTTTCTCTGTACACCACGAGTAAACCTTGTTTCAACCAGACTCCATAAAAACTTGAGGTATACTTACCCTGGTCGATGTCTTCCAGTTCTAATCAAGATAAAATTAAAAAATTCCCCAAGAGGAAAAATTATCGTTGACTTGCAACTAACGTCATAACACGGCTCTGCCTGCATATGAACACAACGTGTGTGTGTGTGTGTGTGTGTGTGTGTGTGTGTGTGTGTGTGTGCAGGGGTGTCGGCCAGCTTTCCTAACACCAAATATTTTTCTTCCCAGATTATTTCATTCTGTTCTCGTCCACAAGACCGCATAATTAATGTCATGTATAGGCCTAACAGTAGGGGGGCCTCAGGCAGTTTCTACCTGTGTCTCTTCATCATCTGCGGCGGCTGTCCGGTATAAACTCAATGGCTCCCACACTTCTTGTCTTAAGTAAAATAAACTATTTATTTAACTTCTTCATTAAACACAAAATTATTATACTTTTAGCTTCATCATTAAGAAACTTAACACACACACAAAAAAAAACATGAGATGAGTGAGATACACAGACACACACAGACACACACAATGATGCGAGGTACACAGACACACACAGACACACACAATGATGCGAGGTACACAGACACACACAGACACACACAATGATGCGAGGTACACAGACACACACAGACACACAATAAACTGAGACACAGACACTCACAATGAGGTGAGTGACAACACACACTACTGCTCGAGCTGTATGTGTGGGTATCTTGTACGGGCAGTAGTGTAGTTTGAGATGGGCTTAACGTTCATTTGGGGAAAGATGTACAGTATCTCAAAAAAGTATCTGTCCACACTGTGTGATACAATATGAGACCATGGATGATAGAAATTGGGTTATCGCGCCCCTGCCCTGTATATTTTAACATAAGTAATGCAGTGTGTATTTATATCGGGGTAATTGATATGATGTTCGGTTACCAAATGTAGTAGGATCAGTATGCCTCAGAGCCACGCATACCAACCCTCCCGTGACATCACGAATTTCATGTACCATTTCGGAAGTTATTGGACCCATCCTTGCAGATACGTTTTTAGATACTTTACAGTATATTATCATTATATAGTCATCAGTCATCACACGCATCTCCCACTGCATCATTCCACACATTCACACTTTTCTAAACCCACGATCACTCATCTTTATTCAGCTTTGTTGTTTATTCTCTATGCAAACGGCTTATAAGAAATTCGATCAGCTATATTTCATAAACACCAGAAGATTTAAAAGAACGGGTTTCAAAATTTTGCTTGTTGCACTTGTATCTAAGACTGGAAGCACTGTTTGACCCCATATCAATAAAACATTAAAAAATAACTAATTAATAATATAAATACTTGTTATATTTCGTCAAAGTAAACCTCGAACAATAGTTTTTCCACTTCTATTTAGGTACTGAGCCGATTCTTCCCCGTCCACAGAAGCGGTGTTGTCCTACAAAGCTCCACACATGCCGTCTCTCACGTCTAATGCTCTTACTCACAAATGATTATTCCTACTTCCACACACTACCAATCTCTTGCACTTATGGCTCTTGGGGTAAATGAGGCTACACACTCACTCTTACAATCCCCGCCTAAATCTTCGGGAAAGACAAACACGCTTATTATCTTCCGTTGGAACGATTACCTGTGTTGGAGGGTTACAGTAAGAATTAAGAAGGTTAAATTAGATAATCCCATTAAGATTTATAAGACCAAGTTATTTATATCATATTCATTATTCTATAATGCCAATCGGTAAGACTGCAGAAGTTCTTCAACTCATAGGGTGAAAGCCATCCATTCTTGTTGATATTTTTTTTTAGGGATAATGTGAGTTACTATATGTTACTTTCTGTGTAATTGTTCCTACACTTGTTATTGTGTCTACTACTACTATTATTACTGCTTATGTGACCACTGTACGAACAATCAACACCAGTTGACCAGTCAGTCAGTCAATCATTCATCCAGTCAGTCAGTCAGTTGGTCAGTCACAGACAAGTCAGGAGCCTCCATCTCCAGAGTTCACCAGTGGATGAGACAATCAATATTTCATTTGCATAATCGACCATCTACCTGTTTAAAGTGATTGAGGAGACCGTTCACGCCAACTGACTTTAGGCCTGGATACCAACCACGCCAGCTGTGTTGAGGCGTGGTTACCATCCACACCAGTTGTGGTGAGTCGTGGTTACCATCCACACCAGTTGCGGTGAGTTGTGGTTATCATCCACACCAGTTGTGTTGAAGCGTGGTTACCATCCACACCAGTTGTGCTGATTTATGGTTACTATCCATGCCAGTTATGTTGAGGTGTGGTTATCATCCACACCAGTTGTGCTGATGCGTGGTTACCATCCGCGCCAGTTGTGTTGATGCGTGGTTACCATCCACACCAGTTGTGCTGATTTATGGTTACTATCCATGCCAGTTATGTTGAGGTGTGGTTATCATCCACACCAGTTGTGCTGATGGGTGGTTACCATCCACGCCAGTTGTGTTGAGGCGTGGTTACCATCCACGCCAGTTGTGTTGAGGCGTGGTTACCATCCACGCCAGTTGTGTTGAGGCGTATTTATTATCTATTCCATCTGATAAGTAATATAAATATACATGAAACTGAAAATATGGAAAAACACCAAAAACGTCTGAAAGAAATTTGTATAGAATAAATGTTTGTTAGTCATTTTATAAACAATCAAGACTTTACTGTTAACGTGAGAAGGACGCACCTTCTTATGAGACACACCTTTCCACGAGACACCCTTCCACGAGACATACCCTCCCACAAGATATACTTGCTCACGAGACACACCCTCTCACGAGACATACCCTCCCACAAGACACACTTGCTCACGAGACACACCCTCTCACGAGACATACCCTCCAACAAGACACACCCTCCTACGAAACACACCCTCCTACGAAACGCATCCTCCTAAGAAACACACCCCCCCACGAGACACACCCCCCACCACGAGACACACCCTCCCACCACGAGACACACCCTCCCACCACGAGGCACACCCTCCCAAGAGACACACCCTCCCACGATACACACCTCCCATGAGACACACCTTCCCACGAGACACACCTGCCCACGATACACACCTCCCATGAGACACACCTTCCCACGAGACACACCTGCCCACGATACACACCTCCCATGAGACACACCCTCCCACGAGACACACCTTCCCACTAGACACCCTCCCACGAGACACCCTCCCACGAGACACACCTTCCCACGAGACACATCTAATTTTAGTAATATAAACGGGATATTTCTATTTTAACAGAGGCAGCCTACCGTGGCCAGCGGGGAGGAGCACCTGGACGTCTGGACATTGTCCTCAGCAGGTAGGAGGACGGAGAACCACAATTTACTGACTCTGACAAGGAACTGAACCAAATCAAGCCTAATCTTATCTATCCCGAACCGAACTTATCATATCCTAACTTCCCTAACTTAGCCTAAACAACCTGAGACTCAACTTAGCCCTCACCCGAATCTGAATTAACTTACACCTAACATAACTTAACCGCAGCAACCCTGACCCCAGCCTTACCTAACCTAACCTAACCTAACCTAACCTAAGTAATAAAAACCCCTTTTCTTAATATGAAAATTCTAATCACATTTCCAAGGATAAGTTTGAGCCGAGGACTATTCTTGGTTATCGTCCTTAATAATTAATCAGACTCAGAATTGTGCGCTTTGGGGGCTGTAGTGTTGAATTTATGTTTGTTGTTGATTCTAGAGTAGTTGTTTTCATGGAATCCGGGAGCGCCAAGCTATTTTTGATAAAAGTGCCCAACATGCCCAAACGCCTACGCCCACCCCTCTCAGGGCATCACAATGAAACTGTAACTTCTGGTTAAATGTTCGCTGATTTGAGACAATTGTTTTTTATTCTTGTGAACGTCGTTTGATGCAATAAAATAAACTCAAAATGGCTATCATATGGCACTATGCTCAAAATGGCTGCCAAAATAGTGATATTTACAATAAATGTTTAAATGGTGGAAAAATTAACATCATATCATTTTATTTTGACTCTACATGTCTTTATATATCAGCAGAGCAAATGCTGTCGGAATTACTTGAGGTACAAAATTGGAATGACAAAATAACCAAAATGGTGGTTGCCAACTAATGTAAATCTGTCAGTAATATTCGAACTGATGAAACCACTGCATATCCCAATGATATTCCAAAACTGTAGGTTCCATGCTAAATGTTGAATTTATACCTTATTGGCAATATTAGAAAAACGACATTAAAATTCTAATAACGTCCCTTCCTGTCTGTTCCATCTCGTGAGGCCACCGCCAGAAGGAAGGGCAGGACTTGGTTACCCTTCCTGACAAAGGGTAACCCACTAACCGAGATGCTTCTAACACATGCAGACAATAATACAGCAAGAACATACAAACAAGAATTGCTTTTTACAGACCAATGCCCTTTTTCTTTTTCTTTAACTTTATGTAGGCCTCATGGGTTGCTACTGGCTCCTAAAACATTGTAGCGCTAAAGCGTAGGTTGAATTAATGTCCCTTTCAAGTGCTATCCGTTTATACGTAAAAATAGAACAAATGGTATGACAGTTGGGTGGTTATGTCCTGGAAAGGATTGCTTGTGAATATGGGTTAACAAACAAACATAACTCAGTGTTAACAACAGAATCCGTTTCAAGGATATTTTGTGGTGTTCTTTAAGCCTACAATTATTTATATCCTTCCTTCTAGCACCGATGTTTCAACTCATTAGATAGTAAACTCCATTTCCTCTGAAAACATAAAATCAGGTGGTCTGAAGCTGCTGTGTTGCTTAGACCTATGAAAGTTCATCTGTGTGCCAAATTTCTGCTGTACTTTCACCTTCAGATCAGTACTGCGACTTCGCGGTAGTCTTTTTTCAGATCCTATTTGGTTGAGGGGGTGATATAACCTGGAGCACCGTATAGAATTCGTATTGTAATGATATAGACAACAAGTAGCTAGTACATGTCTTCCAGAATATTATCTTTATCACCGAAAAAGGTGATTCCTCTCTGGTTCTTAGCATTTTTTTGTGATAATCAACATCGACGGTCAAAAGAGATCTTGTTGCAAATGTAAATAGGATTATATGGGCTCCAGCATTATATTTAGCATTGTGACTCCGTTTATGGAACTTGACATACGCCGTGAGTGTTATATCTGCATTTTCAGCAATTATAATGGTTTAAATAGGAATAAGTTTCTCTTTTAACTATTTATCCTCATTCCATATAATGCATCGCCTTTTCTCTTCTGCCTGTCATGGATAAGTTTCTTTACTCCATTTGCCTCTATCTACCCAGCAGCAATTGGGGACCTGGATGTTAATCGATTTGCGGATCGTGTTCCGGGGTAATGGTTAGCCAGTGCAGTTGGCGAGTTGTCCGGTCTTCTCGGACTGTTCCTTGACACTGGGTCATGCAACTCGTTAACATAGGGTGTGGTTGCTGTGTTGGCGACAGCTTCTACACTTTAAATAAATTCACGCCAAGGTGGCCCTTGGGTCGGCCATCCTCGATTTCGAAGGGCATCCATTATTATACGCCAATGTGAGTTCTTGTGGCTTTTGCTTTTTAGATGAACTATCACAAGTTCAAGTTCTTGGGATACCACTGGCAGATGCTGATGCGATTTTAGAAATTGTTCCTTCAGAAGTTTTCCTTTTCATGATTTATGCGGCCATTTTTCACCCGCTGCTGACCAATCCACCAAGTCGCTGACTGTGTTCAAATTGTGACAGACTTCCGCCGTG